CGCTGGAGCGCGATAACATCCACACAGGCCCACACAGGGCTTGCAAAGCTGTGTTCCCCCAAGTGGGATGGCTGCCCTGGCCCATAAAAGCAAAGAGTGAGCTCACAGTTAACAATATTTTTTTTTAGTGAGTGAAAGCACTAAAGATTTTAAGGCAAAGTTTTTATTGATTTGGCATTGGTTTATAAACCCCTCAGTGGCCATCGCGTAGGGTCAGGCCCTGGGGAAGGGGCGCAGGAGGTGAGGGAGGCCACCGTCAGCACCAGGAGGCCGCCATCTCCGGCCCTACAGGAGCAGATCCTCCTCTGTGAGCTTTTGCTGCAGCTCGCCTCCTCCCAGGCCCGTGAAGAAGGCGGGCAGCTTCACCTCAGAGAAGCCGTTGGTGTCACCAAGCCCTGACCCGGAGGCTGGCTCTGCTTCCAGCACAGTGTCGAACCCGGAGCCGGACCCCTCATCCGAGAGCGGGAATATGTCACCCAGCTCCTGGTATCTCTTCATCCTGAAACGCAGAGTGGCAGCTAGTTTATTCCAAGTTTATTATTTTGTCTATTATCTCTTAAGGGAACACATTAAAGCGTCACATTCTCATGGGTGAGCTGAGCTGTGGCAGGACCATCAAGACAAGAATACCAGACATTTTTGGGGGTGCCAGCATTAATGACGAGTGTGCAGCTCAAGAACTTACAGGGACGGGTCTGCCATGGGAGGAAGGATTCTGTTGGCTCCACCGGTGGGCATGTAAAACCAGGGCCCGTTCTCTTCGATGCAGTTAGCAGACCAGGCATCGGGTCGGCACCTCACTCTCTTGTACCTTGCCTTCTGCATTGGAGCACCTGATCAAATCAGCTGTGTGTTATTCACCAAGACCAGGGCATTATTCACCAGGACCTATTTACTTTATGAGCACCTAGTAAAGCTTAAAGGAGCAGAAGAAATTAATCTGTGTGGCCCTGTTTGCTCAACTGCTGAAAACTAAATTAACCCTGAAGATATTTTTTAAATGGCTACTGACATCCTAAGTGACATCTTTGCTATCAGAGACGTGGGGTGCATCTCTCATACGGCACTGGGAAGTCCACGGGAATTAGAAATGGAAAACCCGTGGGAAACCACCGCCTCACACTGACATCACAGCAGGGCTCATCCCCAGCTCAGGGCACAGCACGTCCCCAGGGGACCTGTGGGCTGGGCCACCTTCAGCTCTCCCCGAAGCTGGTGGCAGTATCTTGAGATATCCAGGAGACAAGCCACCGCAGCAGTGAGCTGGCTCCTGTGCCCTCCCTCCCTCTGTTGGCTCCAGAGGGGGTCAGGACTGACCCCGCTTTGGCTTTACCCGTCTCAGCTCTGCCCTTTCCTGTTCGATGGGATGAGTTTTAGTGGGCAGGTTGGAAACTCAGGGCATGCCAAGAGCTACCTGCCGCAGGAGCAGATTTGGAGATTACATAGGGTTTTGGGGCACGTTGCTGGAGGACAGATGCTTCAGGTGTCTCCTAGACATGACTCAGGGTTACATAAACCCACAGTTTCAGTTATGGTGCTGCCCAGGTGCCTGATCAGGGCTGTCACTGAAAAGCAGGTCTTCAAAAAATACCAAAAAAAAAAATAATCGCAAAGCAATGATAAAAACAGTGGCATTTTGTCCTTCCTTTTTGTCTCATGTAATTAATTTGTTCTGAAGCCTCCTGGTGCATTCTCCCCCTGTTGGCATTTTATCTATTTCTTCTCAGTTTCTTGGGAATATCTTTCCATAATTACTCTTCTCTATTGCCCTACATATTTCCATAATGTACTAGATGACTTTCAGCTACCTCCTACTCTCATCTGTAAGAGAAAAAAGATCTCCTGGGTATCATTTCCTGCTTCTTTTATAGCATATTCCTTTTTCATACTAATTTTGTTCTCTTAACATATTACTAAGAAGGTTTTTAATAATAACAGTGGCAACAAAATAAACAATAATTTGGAAATAAGCAACATAAAAAAAGCAGGCCATAATCTCTCCAAGATCAGCCTCCGAGTGGTAGATACATAATGAAAGCCTACCGCTATCACAGCCTTGGTTGGGGGAGAAATTATGCTCTACGTGCTTGAAAAGTGCTTCTCCCTCACAAGAAACAAATCCCCAAGATACATGTCATCATGAATCAACATTTCCTTTTAGTTGTTTTAGTGCTGCATGTTGCGATATTGTACCAAATAAACCGTTTAATTTCCTCATACTTACAACTAGTTTCCTTTCCTGACCCCCCAAGAAAGCAGACCGTAGCAGTTATGACATAGGAACTGTTACATACTCTGTCTTTAACTACACAACTGAATAACAGTACCTAACCGGACCACCATGAAAGCACCAGTTAAAAAAAAATATAATATATGCATTAAAAATATACCCACATACAGCAGCTTATTTTATGAAGACTTTTTCTCATGGGCTCTGGGAAAGGGACACAGAAATGCTCTAGCAAGCAAAAAGCACCTTGTCTTACCATTCCCCCTCCAGAAAATGAAATGTTAGCAAAAAACAAGTTTTCTCAGTAGATCTCATTACCCCTAGAAAAAGGTCAGTTTGAAAAATTCGGAGTCTGCCTACTTGGCCTACACTGCAGAGCCCAGAAAGAGGATTACCAATAGAACAACTGCCCATTTTACCTTGTGCTGTGTATCCCACAAAGAGGATTAAACAAATAGCCAGGAAAATCCTCCCATTACATCTGATAAGGAGCTGCATTTTGGCCGACATCCCTCCGCTTGCCACCAACCTTCACCACGGCTTCACACTTCAGAAATATGATGGGGCGAGGAAATCGACTTTTCTAAAAGGTTTCCAAAACCTCAAACCCAACCCATAACTTGCGTCACGGCTTCCTGATTGACAGGAGTGAGACATCTACAGAAAAACCCAGCGCTCACTGCCCTCCCAACCTTCATCACTCCAAAATAAACAGTCCCCACTGCCTTTGTCTCTAGTTTTACTGGAGGAGAAAATCAAACCTGGGACCAAGCAGCTTGACCGAAAACGTATGCTGCCGGCAGCTTGTGGTCCAGTCACGCATGCTGCCCAGTGCCTGCCCAATGCTCAGAGGGCTCCAGGGCATTTGCTGTTTCCTCCAGAGAGAAAAAGCAACACTTCATGTCCTCCAGCTTTCAGCCAGCTGGGTTTTGTCATTGGCATGGGCAGCGATTTTCCCTGCCTCAAGCCCACGTCAGTCCATTGGGAGCGTTAGAAGCCACCTGTTTGCAGTCGGTGCAAGTTTCACCAATGGGAAATAATCTTTTTCCACAAAAGTAAATTATCTGAGGAATCTCACACCAATTTTTTTTTTTTTTTTTTTTTTTTTGGAAGCAAGATCTTATATATTCAGAGAAGTGAAAAAAATGGAAGAAATTTAGAGAGTAGAGCCTGGTAAAAATGTGTTGGTTCCTGTATGAAAGGGCACAGTGGGTTTGCTCGGCCCCGACAGCTGATCCGGGACAGCTGGGTCATCGCTGTGTGGTGTGAGCAGCCCTGGAAGTGTGGCAAAGGGTTTGGACAGCACGTGGCTCCGAGGAGCCCATCTGGGAAAGCCGCGAAAGCCCTTATACAGACATATGGAAGCTGCCTTTCAGCCAGCTCATACCTTTCACTTGCCTTTTAGTTGGGATGAAACCAGGCTTGAGTTCACTTAAGAATATATTACATACAACAAGGCTATCTAAGCAGTGGGGTTTTTTTTAGTCATACCATTACCTGCTGGATTGACCGGGGAACCGATGTGTGGGCCTAACGTGCCGCCACCACCTTCAACAATGCTGTGGCTGACAGTGTAAGCTGTCTGTGGTAAATCTATTTTTACATGGTGGAAAGTCCACAGAGAGCCCCGGTGGGGATTCGGGCTGAGCGGCGACTTTCCCCGGGGTGCAGCTCTCCACCAAAACCCCACAAGTGTCAGAGGAGACCCCTCCAGTGGCTCCCCTCTCTGGGGTGGGATTTACCACCAGACTGAGGGGTTGAGCTGTGTGTTTGGCATCGATGCAATTTGTCATGAACCATTGCACGTGAGGTTTTTTCAGGAACAGGAAAAATAGGAGACTCAAACCAAGCAGGTGCCGGAGGACTCACGTGCAGCGGTTATTCTTACCAGCTTCTTTTCTACTTTGTATTTTTAGCATCAACTCTTTTGTCTTTTATTTTTTTTTAAGGTGGTGCTCAGCATCAATAGGAAGCCGGGCGAACGCGTGCGGGGAGGCGATCAGCCTCCGCCCGCCAAAGGCTGTGGAAACTGTTCCTGCAATAATACCTCTCATTTTCCGCTGGTCATGGGCACGCACTGACCCCTTCCGCACCCCTCCAGCGTGAACAAACAACCCCCCGTGTGGGAAAGTGCCTCTCCAGTGGCTATTTCTGCCGTTCCCACCAGGCTGGGGCTTTTTCCACCCGGCACTGGAAGCCCCACGGGATGCGGCTGGAGCGGTGCCCACCAGGAGGCACGGTCACGGGGGGTGGGGATGTTGCAGGAACTGGGGGAGCTGCAAAACCCCCATATCTGAAGGGGGATCTCACAGAGCCAAATTATCTGTCTTATACCATCAGCCAGTGGGGGAACTTGTAGCGCTGGCAGTTTCGCCGCACAGTTTTGTTATTTTCTTCTGCGTCAGTGGCGCCCCAGGAAATGAGATTGCTTTACAATTGGTAACCATGGGAAGACCGAAGCAAATTTTCCACTCTCCCATCTCACACACACCTGTGTCACAGAGGCCAAAAGCCCACGGGAGTGTCGGCCTGCCCCCGTCTGCTCCTTTCCTGCAGCACTTTGCCAGTGCCTGCACCCTGCCGCGCTCTGCAAGGAAAGAGCCTTCCACCTCCCTGAGACTGTGCAGCAGGAGACCTGGAGCTGAAGGAATCTGGGATGTGCAAGTCTTAAGAGTAAAGCATGTGCTTTTCTGGAGTGTCATGGGATGCCCAAGGAATGCTGTGTGATTATTCACCTCTCTGTAAGCCACTCTGCATAAAATGCAAATAATGAGCACACATTAAAAAAAAAAAAATCTCATCCTGAGCTAGAGGCCATGAGTTGCAGGAAGCTAATACACTTTTTTTAAACAGAAAACAGCATACAAGCTACACGATATTGGAACACTAACCTTGAAATGTGCTATTGCGTGACTATCACAGTTCAAAAGAAAGAGGGGGTTTTTAAGTAAAATATTTTAAATCACGGAGGAAAGGACAGTCACCATACCTAGGTCAGCTACCTCAAGATTTACTTTCCATACACTGCAAGGAATGTTCATAGGGTAATATTCCTGTTGCATAGATCCTGTGTGTATAGATTGGAAGATTAAATGCCCCAAAAGAATAAGCCTATAAAAAGAAAATAAATGAGGAGCAGGTCTTTCAGAACACAGCTCACTCCTGGAGCATTTCTTACAACTACCGCGCTGAAGCACTGCCATTATTTTCAAATCACATGCAAAGCAGATTAAAAGCTTTGCATTTTTCTAAGGCATTAATTTGGGGAGCAGAGGGCAGGCAGAGGGAGGGGGCTGTGTCAGCACTGTGCACCCAAAAAAGAAAATAAATGAGGAGCAGGTCTTTCAGAACACAGCTCACTCCTGGAGCATTTCTTACAACTACCGCGCTGAAGCACTGCCATTATTTTCAAATCACATGCAAAGCAGATTAAAAGCTTTGCATTTTTCTAAGGCATTAATTTGGGGAGCAGAGGGCAGGCAGAGGGAGGGGGCTGTGTCAGCACTGTGCACCCAGACACTCAACCGGACACCTGGGACTCTTCGTTATGTGCCTGAAAAATCTGGGACTAGCCTCTGAACTATAATAAACACTCCAAAACCTAAAATGATGAACTGCTCCTTAGTCCTGACTCTTGGGGCTGTTTTATCACCCAACAGGCTCATTCTCATTCATAACTGCTCAGAAATCAGCTAAACCCTAATGGCTGCGGGGTCACCCTCCTTGCAGGGGTCAGGTTTTTCCCTGCCCCAGCTGGCAGCAGCTTGATCCTGACTTTGGGGGGATCCAGGCTGACCCCTGCACCCCTTCAATGCTCCTCCCTGGCGGGATTTCTAAATCCATCCCTGAGCAAATATGAATTCTTAATCTGGGTCACACCTGAGCTCAGTGCCTGGCCCCTGTGCTCATCCGCGTACCCGGAGCATCGTGGCGCAGGCGGCAGGGCAGTATGTGGCATCCCTCGGCCTCTCATGCCACCGCCTCCTGCCTCTGAGGGCGGTATCAGGACCTGGCCCCCCAAGATAAGATTCACATCTTCCAAGAGATCATTAATGCTCACGTGCATCACGCAGACATCAGACATTCGCTGCCATCTAGATTGTGCGGAAGAGCAGCTCCTTGTTTTTCCCATGATGAAGGTCGAGAAGCGCACGGGGAGAGATCTTTGCTAGAAGCCACAGCTGCGGCAAGACTGAACACAGACACCGACTGACGGGAAACTGACAACAGCCTTTCCCCATCAGCGATCTCACCTCTGCCAGAAACGTTAACCGAGCAACGGGCCTGACTTCAGGAGTTAAAAAGAAGCTTTCCTTTGCACTGGGAGGTGCGATGCTTTCTGCTTCCATGTGCTGAAGCCCGGCGCACCAGGAGGTTTGGCTGGCAATTTCAGGACTACAGTTTAAAAGCAACCACTTGTTAAGACATGACACAGCAGCCGAGCTCCGGTTTCTGATTAGGGAGGCCATTTCAGTAGCTGTCCTCCCTTCTTTAAAACCTCAAACCAGAGCAGCACCAGCCCCATGGCAGAAGGACCCAGACCTCGCTGGGAGCTGGACCTGCAGTGCGGGGCAAGGCAGAAGAAAGTCCCCTTCCTGCATCTGCTCATTGGGAAAACAGCTCTAAAACCACAAAAAATTAACTATGGAGAGAAGGACCATGGGACAAAGATGTTTTAAAAGCAAAGCCTGGTGCCCTGTTCCTCCGCTGCTTCTCCAGGCCCGTCTTTTCATTGCAAAACAGTTGGCATTGCTGGTTCGAGCTCAGTTACTGGGTATTAGATGCAGCTATTTTTCCATAAAATGGTCTCTCCTGCACAGGACAATCTTGCACGAGTGAGCTGCTCAGCAGCTAAAAGTTTAGATGCTTTTTATCAACCCTGGGCTTTTCCACCATTTGTCATCTTCACTGAGCTGTTGGGGAAAAAGGTGAAATTACATTTAGAGTAGAAGAAAACAGGTTTTTGGTATTTCCTGTTGACCAAAGGAGATGGGTGTTTTTTAACTAGTTCTAATTGTGTTTGTTTTAGTAGAAATACCCTTTTGTTTTGAAATGTGACACCCGGAAGAGAAAAACGAGGAAAGGCGTGAGGAGCCTTGGCCTGCCAAGGGAGCTGCTCCCCAGCGGGACTGGCACAGCCCAGCCCACTTGGCCCCTTTTGAGGGATCTGCTCTGCGTTCTTGAGGTGGACACTGCTGCGGCACGAAACAGCATAGAATCATTAGAATCATTAAGGTTGGAAAAGACCTCAAGGATCATCAAGTCCAACCCAACACCACCTAACTCACTAAACCATGTCCCTAAGCACCACATCTACACGCATGCTCCAAACTGCCCTCCTTTGGGTTCAGAAACAGTCTGCGGTGCTGACAAAGCTGCTCTGCCTGGGATTTCAGGATGAGAGCATCCCTTTAGAAAACATAATTTGCATTAATTAGGGAAAAAAGTATTTTTTGCATTTTCCTACTTCAAAGTGCTGGGATCCATAATCACTCCAATTTTTCATTTCT